TGTGTGTGGTGGTGGTGGTAGGTAAGTAATAATATATATATATATATATATATATATATATATATATATATATATATATATATATATATATGTATATCAATACTATGACCTCAATGTTACTTACCAATAAACAAAACATTCTCCATGGGGAACGACGGCAGCCAAGTAGCATCCTGTACAGTCACTCTTGCATCCCCGACCGCTTCTCCAGTCTTAAGTGCCAATGCTACGCCCTTCAATCGATGGAACATTCGCTTATCGCCCATCCATCTCTCTGCAGGTCTTTTCCTAAAATTGGAAGTGTGTCCTTTGTATTGAGAGGATAGGTGTGACAGTGGTTTAAATCTAACTACATGTGAGCTTTCGAGGTGAAATTTGGTTTTTAAGTTTGTTTGTCTTCAGTGTCCGCATAAGTGAACTTTTACTAGAAAGTCCTGCTCGCGTTGATTGACTTTTATCTCTATAATCGGCAGCATACGTTTAGGAAGCTACTTGCAGCAATTTACTGGAGATGGCTCCGATACAATCCCATGATATGGGGTTTTCCCTGTGTATATAGTACTGTCTGTACGTGTTCAAAGAGTGTTTGCTTGTAGTCGTAAAACAATTGTTCACTAATCAAATGAATTACATTGACCGATGGCGAGGCAGGAAAACGGCACAAGCACAATTTCATACCATTTGCAAAGAAAATAGTTAATAATTTCTATAGATTTGCACGAAACTATTGCTAGCACTTGCAACGTATTAATTTGACAGTCTCAACTGTCTCATAGTACCGAATATATTGAAATGAGTCGATTGCATACACGCAGACATCATATATGCGCGAAGGGATCGTCTGTGTACAACAGCTGCATGGTTATGATACACTACCTTAGCCATAACCAGTGTGTTCACCTGTGTATAAAACTTTTTCATATGCAGCGATGGCAGCGCAGAATGTCATCGCATCGAAGAAGAACAAAAAGTTTCCGATAATAATCTTTCTCGCATTCAGTAATATGATGGAAGTTTTGTTGTGCTTGTTGCATCGAAATCGTTATTGCTAGAGTTGAGCTACTGTACATTAATACAGTTGAATCTTTTGTTTTCTTCGATTAATACTGATCCATATTCGAACAATGTAAGCTGATCTGGGTGTGAGCCCTTCCGAGATGGCATATACTATGGTGTAGGCAGGTAGTTTTTACTTCAAAGCGTTTAACAACCTACATTCGAAAACATAGCCTTCTATGCTATTATTTAGAAGGCTATGCAAAAAATATGCCGTCAAATCCTATCGCATCTGTCACTGTCGAGTTAATCGTTGCCTGAAAGTTTTTTGATAGAAGCGCAAATACTCTGGGCTTTACGGCTTGCCAATCCTGCATCAGCATGTGATGCGGATACTAAACTACTAGAAGGGTTGAAAGTCATTATAACTTGTTTTGTTTACTACCAAGGGGTATTCTAGTACCTCATAAAAACGACTTGTTGTGTAGAAAATTACAATATACATACAAACACCAACATGATCACAGTACTATACCAACCCAATATATAACAGTCCACACTGCAGTTCGACAGCTTGCTGCTTACCTATGCAAATTACTCGACACGTGATCACACATTCGTTCCCGATAAGTTCTCTGCATCTCAGAGTCACCTTCAATCGATCCCAAGCTTTCATCTGAGCTATGTGTAAAATCATAACTAGCCTCTAGCCATTCTCTAATGTACACGTACACAGCCGTCAGTGCTATCGCCAGTACCAGACAGTGCATGCTTTTGAACGCTGCACGCGCCACTTTCCTGTTGGTGGTCTTGACCAGTCTCATACTTGTTATATGTGTTTGTTATGTTGCAGCAAGGCCACTTCTTTTTTTATAGGGTTGGCTCTAAGAGATATCTTTTCATACGTCCTTATCATTAGGTATACAGTTTGTTGCCGAAATGGAATAAGCACTATCAAAAATTCATGCGATTCCAGGCGTGAAAGTACCTATGGTGTGATAAGATTTTGTGAGGTCTAATAGTATCTCATCATTTACATCCGTTGATTTAATCCAACTTCCTTTCTACATTCACATTATACTCTTCTTGTGTCAGTAAAGCAGCAAAGGAGAGTCGTCCCATGCAGCTTTACGCGTACCGTACTTGTGCTGCAGAAGCTGTCTAATAAATAAGCGACACGTAACTAGGGACTTTTGGATATGTTGACTTTTGGTTGGCGCGTTGGTAGTCAATTTTTGGCGGGCATTCCTCTAGCACTTTGCCCAAAAATAGGACTTTCGAGTTTCGTGTGTTCACAGAGGTCAGGGGGCTTCAGATGCAAACGTACATATTTAATCAATATTTTATGTATTCATCTGACACTTTGTGCACACACATGATGATGGAGAAGACTTTCGTGCATTCAGGTTCAGCCATATATCTGTTTAAGTAACTATATATCTTATCTCAATGTTCGGGGGAATGTGTTGAGACATAAATAATAAATAAATGAATAGTTAAATAGCGCTACGGAAAGTATATTATCACAGTCTGACATAAATCAATTTTGAAACACACACATCACATAATGACAATACTCTTCGTGACCAACGAAAGGCTGGAAGTACCATCCGTGACTACAGCCCAAATGCATGAGGTAAACCGAATAACTGAGGAAGAAATTGGTCCCGCTTTACCCCAAATACTCGAAAATGCGGGTCGTAACCTGACTGAGCAAGCCATAGAGTGTGTAGGAGACGATTGGAAACAAGTGAGTATAATAGTACTAGCAGGTAATAATACAAATGGGGCTGGGGGAGTATGTGCTGCGAGACATCTAGCCAATAGAGGAGCCAATGTCATGCTATGCTTCAGTGCGCCTGAGGATGAGTTGGAGGTATGGTGTTTATGAATGTGTATGCATGAAACCATTAGTTGGTGA